AGGGTGGAATGGAGTGGGTATAGTGCCATTTTTGTTTTTAATTCTCCCAATAACCTCCACAAATACACACTTAGGGCATCAGGGAAAAGTAATGAAGCCCTCTGTTTCAGGTACTAGTTTCTGCCTGTAGGAACTTTTCTTCAGGATGGAGAATTCAGAAATATCTCCTTCCACCTGCAGCCTAGTAGTACAGTCCAGAATTCTACCACCTGACCTTTCCTAAAGTCTAGATTGGCTCCTATATGGGCAGAAGCATGAACAGTAGGACCATTCTCAGCTGAGCAAGTGGGTGGAATCATGTGAAATCTGAAAAATTCATGTGTCACATAGTGCTGGAAGCAAATATAAAGTGAGTGTGTGGGAAAGCCATGCTTCTGCAAAATTGTCTGTTTCATGATGTTCCTCTGAGCATATAAGCAATACATTTGCAAAACTGTGAGGGCTAACTATAGGTCGCCAACTGCAGTATCAGGGTTCTGTTTCCTGGGATCTGTAGTGGCAGATGAACAGCAGTTCATAAGAAACTATTTCAGCTGTTATTACAACTGGTTCATGCTTGCTGCTGAAGAAACTTTTAGAACAGTGAAAAAGAAAAATGCCCGCTCTCAGTTGTTACAGGAAGTCATAAGCAAATTCAGTGAGCCTTAATTGATCCAGTAACCTTTTTTGACTAATGATGCAAGGCCTATAGGTGTGCACACATTCTACATGCTGTGCATGGTTTCTATTAAATTCCATGAACTTAGGAATCTGTGAACTGCTTAAAAAGCATGGCTGGGGATGTATTTACTGCCTGTGACATAAAGCTGCAATGTATAAAGCTTGTGTATCGGTCACCTTTAAATGTAAGCATTCCCCCCCTCCCCCTTAGAGAATAAAAGCTACACCTCCATAAGAACAGAAGCCTTGTCGGTGATAGAAGTGCTGCTCACGAAACTTGAAGGTAAGCTTCATGGTCCGGGGCAGTGTCTGATCAAGGCTGGAGAATGCCTCAAAGCGTGTCTGTGGCCCAGTTTTGAGGGTTATGGTGACAGATTTGCGGAGGAGTTTCCTCTGACCTGCCTTGTCTTTTAGGATAGCTGTCACCATGCTGGTTCCTGCTGTGCATAAAGAAAATGGAAGTAAATTTGAACATCCCCCCACCCCCAGTCTTGCATTCCCTAAGTCCTGTGGCTGAAACACTTGAGCCTTCTCATGTACTTGCTTGAAAATCTGTGTCTTCCCTGTCCTGGTAACCTCAAGATTAGGCTCCTGCAATGTACTTGGGGGTGGGTGGGGGTGTTGCCTTTGAAGAGTATTCAGAAACAGCGGAGAATCCAGGATTCAGGCTGCGTGGGAACGTGTAACTCAGATCCTGAGGAAGCTACCCTGATGACCAATAATTTCTGGGTTCCGTTCAAAGTGCTGGTTCTGACCTTCACGTTCTTGAATGGTCTGCTGGGTCCTGAATACCTGAAGAAGCACCCACTGGTGAGGCCCCATTAGCATTTTCTCTAAAGTTCATCGGGCAGTTCCCATAGGGCAGGGTCTTCTTCTCTGCGGTCACCCTTTCCTTGTGGGTCTCATTCCTGAAGGAGGATGATCATGTGGACAACTTCCTTTGAATTTTTGGAAAAGGGCTAAAGCATGCTTTTAAAAATAAGGCTGCTCTTGTCAAGGCTCCGCTGCAGAGAATTCATTTTGTTTTGGTAGTTTTTTAAATGGTTACTTGCTACTGCCTCTTAAAAACTGCTGGAAGATCTGGCTATAAATGTGAAATAAATAAAAAAAATAATAATTTCCCTCTTGCTCTTCACCCTCATCTCCGTGCAGAGTCCAAACAGTGGGGGAGCCTGAATGCGGATAGCAGAGAACTTCTCATTGGCTCCCTAACTGCGCTGACACTGGACAGCAGGCCTGAACTGCAAGAGAAAGCATCTTTGTTAAAGAAAACCCTTGAAAAACTTGATTGATTTTTTTTTTCCTCCGGGGGGAAAAAACAAAACACAACCAAGTGCCATGTGAAACAAAGCAAGCAAAAAACCGAAAGCACGCAGTGTGCTCTGAATACGAGGGAAAAGTGAAGATGACTTTGTAGCATGCATCATTCCTTGGCTAAAATAAAGAACGCCTTGAAATTTTGTTCCCCAATAATTTTCTTCTTTTTTTTTCCTTTCCTTTTTCAAAACAATCTCAAGCAGTTTGGGTAGTTAAGGAAGCCATGAAAGTATTAAAAAGAAAACAAGCTGCATAATGGATATTTGGGACATCGGTCTGATCTGTGTGGGTAAAGAGGGGGGGAAAGAAGCACCATGTTCGTAGATTAAACCAGGCCAAATCTTTTAGCATATGTATGACGCCCAATAACCTCTGTAGACAAAGGTGATGACAGGAGCACTGGACAGCAAAGTCCTTACTCAGGCCTTCCTTGTATGTTCCATGTGGCACGGTGATTTCTTGGTGTTGTGCTGGTAACATCCCAGTAGGAAGACAAAGACAAATCATGGTATGACCAGAGCTCACTCTCCTTGCTGGTGCGGTCTGATCTCCGCTTCAGGAATCCCTCCTCCTTGAGTGCTGGCCGGTCTGGGCCACATCCTGTCGCTTCATGTGGGCAAGTTCATGCCTTTCTGTATTTTTAAAAGGGTGGATCTTCCCACCTGGTAAGAATGCACACTGGAAAAGCACTTTAACCAGCTGCTTCGAAGCAAGAGTGTCTTGGGGACTGGATGAAAAAGGAAGCCGAAGCTCTGCTCTTCCCCAAAATCGTTCGCGTGACGCTCGGAAGAAGCAAAAGCCTTGTCTAAGATACGTCCTTTTGAAAGTGTTACACATCCTCCCCCAAAGAGATTTGAAACTAGATTTTGCTCCCTTTAGGTTTGTAAACCCTTTCTCGCTTTGGAAAGCTGTCATGTAAACCACGTATACTCTTATCAGACACAGGCATCTTCTGGTTTCTAGGAAATACTGAAGAGTTGAGTTTAAATCTCCGTTGACCTGCAGCAAAGATGTGATCGTACTAAACGGCCATGTTATATTGTCCCCTTATATGGGAAGCGCAAGAAGTGATAGTTGCTCGCTCCAGTTTTAATAAAGATTTCATAGATGGTGAAGTTAAATGTTTAATCCGTACAACTTCACAACTGTCAGTTTCTGCAAGGTTTGTTCTCTGAAGGAACTTTGATGTGGGAATCAGTGTGTTTTAACCACTCTTAGATGGGTGTGTATGTATGTGTGTGATGTCCTTACTTGTAAGTTGCTGGCTGTAGAATCAGATCTAGGCGAAGGTAGTATGTTAATTCCTACGTGGAAGTGTCTTCTGTATAGGAGTTTTGCAACACCCCAGAGCAGGCAATATCCTTTTTGGCCCATTCCCATCATTACCTGCGGGAGTACAGCCCAGCTGGGTTTGTACAGATGCACCCTTTGTAAGAACAATTGCCTCCAGATGGAGACTCTATAAGGTGAGAGCTGCAGTAAGCCCTTTTCTGAACTACTTTGTACAAATCTTGCCAGCAGAGTGAAATTTCATATAATTGGAGCTTGGGATCTTCCTGGAGGTGATCGTGATGGGCAGGGGGTGGAGAGATGCTTTTAGAATTGGCTTATTCAATGTACCTCTTCCTGTAAGGGAACGTAACAGTAACGGGAGTTTGAAGACTACTTCACATTAGGGCTGGCCAGAAATTGTAGCAGTTTAGTGGGGCTATATAAATATATATATATCAATATATATGCCTTGTATGAAATGGAGGATGGGATCCCTGCATCTTTCCATCTAAAAAAAGGGTGGGAGGTACAGGGGTATAATGTATGTACATACCTGGGGGGTGGGGGTTACATGCTAACTTCAAATTGCGAGTGTTGATGGGGAAGATGCATAGTCCCAATATTGAATTTACAAAACTGGTACTAAGAAATGGCTTTCTCATCTGAGAAACTGTGAATGTGCGTATGTATGTATATCTGTGTGTGCGTGTGGGGTCAGACTATTGAAAAGCCTGCCTAACTAGCACCCGTCACGCTGGGATTCTGAAATGCTGTACGCTGCTTGTTTACATTTAGTTTGAATTTGCCAAGCACCTCTGTAAAACTGAATGTTTGTAGGCAGATCTCTGCATAACTTTTACCAAATACACCATTTTGTCCTGTAAGTTTTTTTTAAAAAAAAAGAATTAGGCAGCAGTTTTAAATTGATGCTTTTTAATTTTTCTGCAAGCTATTGAGTGTTTTATAGAACCCGCAACAGCTGTGTCCTAAACACGCAGTCTCTGCTATGACTTTCCAGCAGGGGCTTCAGAATTTTGAAAGGGAGATTTAAAAGCTTGTGTTTGGAACATCATCTGTAGAAGAAGTTTCCAAATGGGATTTTAAAAAAAATTAACTGCACTGAAAAGAATTCCAGGTTCAGAACAACAGTAACAGCTGCCTGGAACATGCAAGCTTGACAAATACCTTCTCTGGATAACTTTTTTTCCTTCTAAAATTTGAATTTCTGAAACATGTGCCTCTGAGAGAATCCTACCTGCAAAACGTTGACTTAGAGGTCAAATATCTGTCCCTCTTGAATTTGTTGACTTGATAGAAAAAAAGTGGCCTTTGGAGAGTTATGTTTTCCTCTGAAAACAATTGCACTACAAAACACTGTTGCCCATGATGGGCCCTTGTGCTGCTGTTTAATGCTGCTTTGTATACCTGGATTGAAGTGTGTAAATTTGACACTATAAGTACCTACCCGGCAGAATTTACAAATCGTTTTATGTTGAAAGATTTCTAATGTTGCAAAAACAAACAAAAAAAGGTCTCCATTAAATTCACTACATTGAATTTCTGTATCTGGCTGTCAAGTTATGTACAATGGATTGAAACTTTCCCATTTAAAGGGTTAACAAAATAAAGGCGCATGACCTCTTCTTGGGTAGAAGTGGTAATTTCATCCTTCTCTCTATTTAAGAGTTCCATTTTGGTTTGCAAGGTTGCATATAGACATTTAGGGGATGAAAGTAGTGTGAAGTGGAGGGGGAGGACAGACACGTCCTCTTTGTGAAGCTCCTTCATACAGTTTTGCATCACACTGTTCTTTTGCATAGGAGTATGGCTGATGTCTTTTCAGTTGATCCTAAGGGTACACTCCATGCAGTTGAGAGTGAATGTGGAACCTTAGTAGCAGGTTGTTTCCAACAGCAAATGAATGTCATTGACTCTGGCTGAATCTGCATTTGTCTTTCCCACCGGTGTCCCAGCCTTTTGACTCCGTAGTCAAAAAAGCTGTCTACATTTGGTGTCATTTTCACGCCTCAAGAGTGCTAGCATACTTTTACACATATGTTTATCGTCCTTTTGGGGTGGCTCCAAAAGAATCCTCTCCAAACATTCAAACAAGCATAGAGAGACGGCGTCACAGCAGCATGAAACTAATTTAAAATTCAAAAATGCTTCCAGGGTAACTGCTTGATGCTGAAAGCCGAATCAGTTTCACTCAAGTATAAGTTGCGGGGGTGATGAACACAAAACACTGGGTCTCACTTCCATGATACAAAGAAATGCCACCCCTTATGCAACGCTGAACTTAGCAGAAAGGCTGCTTAACAGGCTGGGCTTGAGACTGGACCACTATGTAGATCAATTTTGTCTGCTACATAGTCTGATGTGGTGCACCCCATTCTACCACCTCAATTTCTCTCCCACTTAATTTTGCTACATGTGTAGATCCAGCCCATTAGAAACTGGTAACTCCAACACACCACGCTTCTGGAGCAGGGATGCAAGTCAGAAAGATTGGACAATTCACTCAGTTCTACAGTACCTTAAGAAAACTGAAGTTGAATACTGAAGAACTGCCTTAAATGTTTTCTTCAAAAATGCTTCCAGGGTAACTGCTTGACTTACTTCTACTGTGAAATGTTTATGTAGAGTTAGGAAAACACTCCCCTTCTCCCATGAAACACAGGGCAGGGGTTCTCACCTAACTGAACTGTTAGGTACATGTGGAACAGGCACCACAAAAATGGCCTGAAATGGAGAGGGCACTTACAAAACTCTGGGAGATACCCAAGCCAAGCATCCTTTTGTGGTGGTGGTGGGGGTAGTTATTTGCAATGGGTATTCTATTCAGAAGGGGCTGCAGTGGCTCAGTGGTTAAGATGCTGAACTGCAGATCGGTAGTTCAGCAGTTTGAGACCCAAGTGTCACATGACGGAGTGAGCTCCCGTCTCTGGTCCCAGCTCTTGCCAACCTAGCAGTTCAAAAGCAAGAAATTGCAAGTAGATAAATAGGTACTGCTTTGGTGGGAAGGTAACAGCGTTCCATGCACCTCAGTGTCTAGTCACGCTGCCACATGACCACAGAGACATCTTCGGACAGCGCTGGCTCTTCGGCTTGGAAACAGAGATAAGCACTGCCCCCTAGAGTCAGATTCAACTGGCTTTTGAGCAAGGGGAACCTTTACCTTATTCTATTCAGAGGCAAGGGGGGGCACATCTCCTAAACCATTTATTATTCCAGTAAGGTGGAAGCCAGGATTGGAGAAATGAGGGGCCAACGAACTACCCTGGTGGTCATCATGGTGGGGACTACTGGATTAGGATGACAACCCTATACGTGGTATATGCTATATACCTTTCAGAACAGATTTATAGAAATTGTCCTTTTGGAATAGCATGACAACAAGGCAGATATGTGGAGGATGAGACTCGGAGGGGGGTTGTTGGAAGAAACACCTTGCCTATTTAAAATATGCATCGCTAGTCCTAAGGCTGAAATCTCTGTCATCCCCCATCAAGTGTACATGTGGGTGTGAAGAAAACTTTGCAAGGGCCTCTGCAACCAGGTTTAGCAACAGTCTGTGGATGGGTAGGATTGCACTCAACATACTGGGTATGATGCAGGACCAATTTCTAGAGTGGTTAAGTGCACTTGAAGTGATCTTGGTAACCAAGGTAGCTGCAGGTCCTTACTGACATAAGCAAAAGAATCCAAGGCACTGAATATTTTGCCTGCAAAGTTCCTCTGAAGTTTGTTCCCTTCCAAGTTTATCTTACATTATACAATCAGTGTGTGCGTGTATTTCTGCACCCATTTTTCGCCGGGGCACCTCAGGACCCAAGGTGAACTACCAAAAATAGAATGATGCTGGCTTAATATCTGACAAGGTCCTACCTGTGAGCACTTTGGGAGTAGTGGCTCTGGGCTTGCAGCTAGGCTGTGCTCCTGCTCAAAGGTATCACTGATGTGACCAAGTGCCTCCATCTGAGAACTGTCTTTGTAGCCACCAGTATTTGAACATTTCTAGTAAGCTTGATCAAGTGATAATCACACTGAATACAGGCTCCCTGCAGAGGTGCACACACAGACAGTACATTGACATGCAGCATGTTCGGCTGCAAATCCTTCCTTGTAGTCACAAGCAGTCAAATGTCAGCTAAAATGTATTAAGAGTGGAGTTCCTTGAACCAGCTGTTTAGACCACACCCTCTCACCTTTGCTAGATCAACCTGCGGTTGTGAAATACAACTCAGGTATTCCAAGTTAAAGCCCTTCCCTGGGAAAGGTTGGCCCCGGTCACACGAGAGGTTTTGGGCCGGGAGAGGGACGGACCGGGGGCGCAGCAAACGGACGCGATCCCACAGCAACATCTGGGAAGCGTGGTGCGCCCGTTCCCGATCCGGCCCTTCCACCCAAAACCCCGCATCAAAAATAAACCACCTACCTAGGTGGTTCTTCAAGAAAGGGCGCATCAAGGCCGGCCGTGGGATCGCCGGCGCGTCCTTCCGCCGGCGCATCCCTGGCTCCTGGCCAAACTGCGCATGCTCAGACATGCGCAGTTCGGCAGCCTCCCCCTCCCAACTGTCGCTTCTTCCCCGGCATATGATCGTGCCGGGGAGCAACTGCGCCACGGCGCCTCTATTTTGCCCAGTTTTTTTCTTGCCGTGTGGCAGGGACCGTTGTTTACTTATCAGACTCACTGGGGCTAGGAATTATCATAAAAGCTTTGTTATCAAGCACTGGATCAACAATAATGCACAGTTAACGGGCACTGCCCAGGGGGCGAGTTCCTCCCTGGCATAGTTCTCCAGGAATGAGAAGGGGAAGCCAGAGGCGAAGGACCCTGTCTTCCCTGAAGCCACGCGACTATCATTTGCCCCTGAAACACTAGCCGAGACACTCAGTGGGTAACTGCCCACACATAACCCTAGCCCTTTTTACATCAAAGCGATCTGGGGACAGCACAGGCTCTCTTAAAATAAGTTTTAACTTTATTTTGGAAAAGCAGTAAAAAGGGAAAGGTGTCTGCAGTCACTCGCATGGGGGAAAAGGAAAGCAGGGAAGGAATTCATACACATGGGAAAATGTCAAGCACCACAGCAAGCTAATTCAGCTGGAATAAACTGGTTCCCTGTGTTAATATCCCGAGCCACGTCGGTCTGACATGGGCCTACCCTGCAAAGGGACTCCTCTTCCTTTGCTTGTTCCTCAGGAAGGCAATGGTAACTCTCCCCTGTTATCAGGTTTTCAACCATGGATAGGAACTCTTTCTCCTACTTGGCTGGTGCCAAGCCCTCTGTATTGGGCTTTCAAGATTTGCTGTCCTGTTCCCACTCTTACCAGACAGGCTGCCAAAACCATGGGGACCAGGCTGTGCCTCGTGACACTCTCCTCCAGACACTGTACAGCTGCATCTTCAGGCACCTGGGCACCCCCCACTTCTGCCACTGCAGTCGGCCAGCTTGATGACCCTGGCTATTGCCAGCCTTCTGACAGCCAGATAGCAAAGCTTTTACTACAATAAGATATTCTAGTGCTTTGCCTGAGAGCACCCCAGTCTTCAGCCTTCTGCCATGACTTCTAAGGAAACCAGTGCCTTAATAGTTTTTGGGAGATGGCAGCAATTTTACTTGAATTCACCAAGAACTAGGAGAGAAACGTTTGTAGTTATTATACAAATAAAAGTGAACGATCAGTTTGGCAGCTCTAGTGTCCAGTGGAGAAAGAAGTGCGTTGGGCTGTGGCTTTAGCTATGCAATACGATCAATACAAAATAAAAACAAGAGAGGCTGTACATTTTCTAACAGGCTAAGAAAAACGTCACTCAGGCAGCTGTGGTGTGGTAGAGTTTTACTCTTCAAAGACCCACCTGGGCCCTCTGCTTCTTTTCCTTCGTTTTTGCCTTATGGCCGTCTCCGCCGTGCAGCCCGCTGTTGCTATTCTGCACCTGAGCAAACCGTGTCACGGTAGAAACTCCATCCACAAATTTGGTTTTGTAAAGCACGTTAGCATTGTTGAACATGCCATCCTTCAGCGATACCACAATGAACTAGGGATAGAAAAGCAGGATTTAAGTACAAGAGGCGCACAACCTGTGTTTCCCACCTGCCCTTCATTTTCTGAAGTGAAGGTATCAGGTGAATGTACAAGTTTGCTAGCCACAGATCTGTTATCTGTACAACAAAAATGGAATAATGTTACCCAATTCTGTCATTTTGTGGCAGACTTTTAAAAAAGTTACAGTAAAACAATGGAACAAGTAATATACTATCTTGAAATTTAGATTAGGAAACCAACTGGCTAAAAATGCTTTCTTTTTTGGTCATGGCCAGGAGGAAGTGTTATATGAATTTAAACAAGGACAACTGATTTTTCTCATGTTTTTATCAGCTTGCTCCAAACCACTCTGGAATTATCAATGTAGCTTTACAACAAATATTTTAGGTGTCTGAAGAAGAGGTCTCTTGTTTATTCTGAAGAGAATGGCCATTACATTTGGCTTAGTCTCAGATATGAAGGGATACATGTATTCTCTTTCAATACCACCTTCCCAAAGTGAAAACTTTTCTGTACTCCTTTGTTCTTGCTACCCAGACAAGACTAAACTGTACACAGGATATTAGGTAGGCCTCAA